GGGAATATCAATGGGTATCACCAACATTAGTGCAACAACTTATTATCACCTTCAACCACTGCATTAATATCCTGTCTTTGAGTAGAATTTCAGGTTGGTGTACACAACTGGATAGAGGAGTGCCTAACTGAGTGAAATAAGTAAGCAAGAAAGACATGCTTGGATTCCACCAAAACTACATTGGCAGCTGTTGCTCTAAGCACTACACAATGTCACTATTTTTAGGATTGGTTGCCACAGAAAACCACCATTCAAGTTTCATGAATTTAAAGGAATATTTTGAAAACTCTTATGTTTTCTGTACAACACAGAAAGAAAGGCTCTACTCCAGAGCAAATGAATTTCCCAAGACTGATCATTGGTGTACAAAGCCTATTGTTCTCTATTCAAAATTTGCATTTGGTCCATCTAGTCTAGTACTGCCAATGGAAATCCAAGGAGTGAAGCAGAAGTCCTTCTTGCCTTGACATTCTGAAGATACTTGGATTGAATCTGGGACTGGTTGGAGGCAGCCCATGATCTCTGACTAATCCAATCCAGATTCTTGATTTACAATCAGAGATCAGCAATACATATAACCAGATAAAATTGAACAGTTAAAAGAAAAGGAAAAATAAAAAATTGTCCTGCTATATTTGATATTAGTTGTTGCCTCATTTTAACTGCTGCAACAATAAATTTGGCTACTGTGTAGGTGGTTTGTGGTTTGAGTCAGAGATTAAATGGTGCATGTAAAAATTGTCCCTTCTCCCAGGTACACTTAGTGAAAGAGGGGTATGGATGTCCTTTTGAAGATCCTTCTAAAAGGTACAATAAAAAAGGACATGTTGAATTGTCTCGATCTCCCCGGAGTCATAAGGGCAAGCATGCTGAGTTAGGGGAATCTTGGCATACCTGCCAAATAATAGCATGGATGGATGTCATGCCTGGCCCTGAATGCACCCAATTTCACAGTCCCTGGTGTAATTCAATACTGCCTCTGTAGATAGTAAATATCATGGCTCTCCACTCCATAGAAAAATATAACCTAGTCCAGACATAATTCAAACATACCCACATTTTCCTTCCTCCTTCCCATCCTCCTCCTGTCAACTTTGCTTCATAACAGTTTGCTTGTGCCTGATGAAGAGTGCTTAGAAACTCAACTATCTTATAAATTTTCAGGTGGCTTTATACTGAATTGTTATTACTATCTCTATAATTATGTTTCAAGATCAAGAAAACTACCGCTGTTTGGGTTTTTGTTTTGCTTTGTTTTAAGAAAGAAGGAATGCTTCTCTAGACAGCAACCAAATGCTTGGAATCATCAGTGGCAGAGACCCAGGAAAGGCTCAGAATGCTGCATAGTGCATCAGAATCCCCCAAAACTTTGTCACTAGTTATTTGAGACTATTATCAGTGTATCTGCATTGATTCAATTACTGAGATAAGGAAGTAAAAATACTTCAAATACTCAAATTGCTCTATTTTTTATAAAACTATGTTTTAGAAAGCATTAAAGTTATGTAAATTACAGAGTGTGAAATTATTTTTATTACAAAGTTCTTATTCTTCAGTAATTCCTATGAAAGTGCCCATTTTGTTTTGCTTTTGTATATGCATAATACAGCTCTACACTAATAGTAGGAAAACTTACTCCAAAGGTTTTTGGTAAGTTTTCAAAAAAGAAAAGAATGATTATATTCTCTTACCTTCAAATCAGTCACTGTTGGGATCTTCTCTTCAAGAAAAAGCTCTCCAAGTTTTTCATCTATGTTTGCAACACATTCAATCAGTTCCTGGCGGCGATCTGTGGCCTCTGCTCTGAACTCAGAAGGGATGTCATCATATTTAACAATCTGGCTACAGAAACAGGGAAAATAAAAAGCTCATCAATATTCAGCTTCAATCATACAACTTGGTATTCTGGACAGCTGGCTTGAAAAGACTTAGAGTCCCTAGCAGCAAACATACCAATTGACAAGTTTTGATTCTCGTCTTTCTTACATTTAACTTTTCCATTTTATGGAATTCTGACATTATGAAACTGCTTTTGTAAATTATCAGCTATACAAATCTACAGCCATACAGTCTGTGGTGATTTTATCTAAAGGAAACCAATATGTAGCCTTAGATCTCATTTCTGCGTGCTCCAGCTGCTTTGCTCTTCTGGTTTCCTGCAGCTTTTTTGTTAGCCAATAAAAAGAAATCATGACTGAGTATCCAAATCCAGTATTTAATTATTAAGACATCACAGTCCTGGAAGCCAGCATGGATGGAATGCACCAATCTATTATAATTAAGACATCTAGAACATGGGATAATTTGCTTCCCCCCCATTTCTCACTTTTCGAAAGATAAATGGCATTAAGGCTTATATTAAGAGGGGACAACTACATGGCATTAAGGCTTATATTAAGAGGGGACAACTACATAATGAGCCATGCCTTGGGTTCATATCCCTCTTTCAAGGAGGAAGAATCTGGAATTATTTGTTTTTACTAAGCATGGTTTATTGCATTGCTCAGATCCAGAACTTTAATATTAATCTTGGTTTGTTTAAAACTAGCCACAGTTAACCAATTAGTCAACAAAAACAATGTGATAAGGTAACTGAAAGCTTTTAACTCCTCCTTCCCAATGGGAAAGGAAATGGGGAAGCACGTAACTACAAGCTTTACTGTGGCTCAATTATGTCATGCCAATAGGGTTTAGTGCGAAATCCAAATAAAACCATTATATACATATTAAATTTAAACTGAATAATACAAAGAAGAGCTTGCTAACAGGGACTTTCTAACACACTCGAAAATCTGGTTAAGAGGAGACTCTTTGTTTATGGTGGTTACACATGGGGGGTTCCAATGCAACCTCCTAAGATGGTTAAGATCAACATAAGAAGTTCACAATGAGAGCTGAACAGGAGGAAGAATGGCCAGGTTCAGTCTAATACACAGTTTGTTTTAATCATCACAGCGGCAAGTTTCATGCTCAGTCTTAAACTATAACCCCCCATGTAGAAACCACAATATCTGGATTCCTGTTTAGGTTAAGGCAAAGTCAAACAAATTACATTACAGCTCTACACAGTGTGTGAACCCAGATAATACATTATGGTTAACAGATAAGAAATATAATGGCTGTGCTATTCCTAGCTTGTCTTTCCTGAATAACCAAAATTACTGAAGTTTACTTCTAGAAGTAAAACCCTACCCCAGGAGCAAGATCCAGAGATAAAATCTGTTTGCATTGGGAGATTTTAGCACCTTACCCAAAGTCACCTTCAAAGTATATAGCTTTTTCTTCAATTAAATCAACAACTCCTCTGAATTCACCCTCCAGTCCCATAGGAATCTGAATAAAAGCAGCATTCTGCTTCAGCTTGGTTCTGTAAAAAATTAAAAATATATACAATTTCTATTCAAGCCACACTTATAAACAGCCATTAGGTCTATTTCTTCCATTATAAGCCCCTTGAGCCTGGGATAATGATTGGGGATCTTTCTAAAGATTCTAAAGTTGAAAATGAAAATGACAGGGATAATCTCTGACTTCTCCATCATGACTTCTGTTCTCTAGGCATTGAATGCAGTGGAGCACAATCTTCCCCTGCTGATCTGATACAACTTCTGCATATCTGGCATGAATTAAGAGTTTGAGACATCACATCTAGGAGGACATTATATACACAAAGGGTAATGGGCTTTAATTTTAAAGGTGAAACGAGATATATTTAAATTCTTAAATGTAAATATTTGCAACATTCTTGACTGACAGAACATTCTAAATGTTTACATTTTTTATTCAGAAAAACATAATCACCTATTGGTGGAACTGGTAAGAGTGAGATGAGCAAATACACTACTGCTGCTGCTGCTGCTACTGCAGCTACTACTACTACTAATTTATTAAACTTGTATGCTGCCCAACCCTCAATAACTCTAAGTTTCAGACAATGCAACCATCACAGGTCACATCGTGGCTGAGAAGTTTAGGATGCTTTCATTACATTTTGATTCTGTGGCATTTGTTTCAGGTGATCATCAGCAGTATTACTTTATTACATGATTTATGTTTTCATGCTAGGTTTTTTTTATTTATTTATTTAATCTATATTTCAAATTTAGTCACTCTCCATCTCACTTTTAAGTTCTGGATGGTACACAGCCTTGGCAAAACTAGAGAAATTGTACATTTATATTCATAGACAAGTTCCTGGTCTTAGAGAGAGCTACCATTTTGTCCAATTGACCTCGTAAAAGGAAGAAATTACTGTGTTCACTGATCACTTATTCAGAATAATTATCTGACAACAGAAGATTTATATATTGCAATTAAGCAGCTGGCTTTAGTTTTTTTCATATTTTGCAGTGAAATTATCTGTACACTATAGCGAGGAAATCATTGCTATATCAGCTTACTGGGAGTTACAATAGTCTTGATACAAATGGACAGTGATATTTAACTACTTTACCTACTGGCCCTTTGGGAAGACAGCTCACAATTCAATAATTTTATTTCAGTCAATGACCAATCAATCCAAAACTCAGACTGCATATGTTAAGCCTCTGTCTGTATCCCTCTAGGCATCACTGACTTGTTTTGGGAGGTGGGGAGGGTATTTATATTTTTATTAAGTTTTATAGGCATTACATTTTCTTTAAAAAATCCATATTAATTAGGTACAAATAAATGAGTATATATATGCCAAAATAGCAAAGAAAATCTAAACTAAAATAAAATAAAAAGGACTAAAAAAGAACAAAGGGACAAGAAAAAAATAAAATGAACTGAAAAAACACCATTACAAATAGACAAAAAAGGAAAATAAAGAAAAATAATAATAAAAATACCAAGCTAATCAAATGTAAAGATCATACTAAACTTTTACATTTGATCATTATCATGCAATTTTTTAGCAACAAATTGAACCTAGTCCATATGGAATCATAAGATACAATCTTGCCTCTCTTTAATACATCCATTTCAAAGGCTGATTGTTGACAAATTTCATTACTACTAACTGTTCGCATTCATTATCCATATAGGTCCAGGGGATATTTTTATGGCTCTAAGAGCCATATTTATGTGCTGGGCAGTTATTCAGAGAATGAGGATCATTATTTTTGGTATTCAAAGTAGACATGAAACACATCAGCAGAGCAAGGTCAGAATTAATGTTATCCCTTCACTAATCACATATATTTATATTTATTGAGTTAGGGTCTGCAACCCTGGTGCTGGCTGCTGATAACAATACCAGCTTAATGGTAGTATTCTTATGAATGTGTTCATGTATCAGGAACATATGAGCCATGGTTGCCAAAGAGAGACATGGTCACCTAGGATCAGTGAACCACTGCACAAAATGGCAACACTGGATACAAAAAGATTCTGAGTTGGGCAGGTTATAGAGGCTGATCATCATTATTGATAATTAGCCCTTCTGGTTGCCAAAGGAAAATGAAACATTGCTTGGTGGAAGTAAATAGTATAGCTGCGAGTCTAACTACCAGATGATCAAGGAAGCAATCCTATTAAATTACTCTAAGACAAGCTGCTCCTAAAACTGCACTGAGCGGGTATCTCTATCTGAGAGTACAGCTTGTAAGAGGGGACTCCCATAACTGGACACTGCTCCACAGAAAGCAATTCACTACACATAGAACATTAGCATGTCAAGGGCAGAATCCTTTTCTCTGACAAAAAGGTCCAGTGCAGGCATTCAAAGCCTCATGGAGTAGAATTGTGTAAAGCAAAGTTCCCATCACCTTTCCCAATTGTCATGGGAAAACATTGGACAGATATGGCAGAAGGAACAGGACAGTAAGCACATCCCCAGTGTCTCTCGTCACATAAGGATAAAAATGACAGACTAAGGATTTATTATACAGAAATAGCTTTTAAATGGTGGAGTACTCATTCATGTACTGAATGAAATACAACTCAAATACAGGTTTACTTAAAGATGATATAGAGAAGTTCAGAAATACTATCAATGGCAAGATTTGGATCATGCTGCCAGCTCTTTAGAACTTTAAGTTAGATCAGATCTGTTTTTATACAAGGATGAAAGGATATCAGCATTTGTGTCCTGACCATAAATAACATATAGGATACAGAATAAAAATTCTATCATTCACGGACTTTAACAGCATATGGAACAAAGCTTTCCACAGCAATGTCTAATATCCATTTCAAATAAATAATGAAAACAATTAATTAGGAAGGGCCTACAATTCATTGTGCATGTATCAGTAAGCATAGTAACACATAATCTTTAAAAGTAAAGATGTGCAATGCTCACTGATTCAGAAACTTCAGACTATTCCATTTTTCTTCTAGACAATGCCATTTCATTCAAGACACTGTGACTGGGGCACTCTGAAATGCTTTTGGTTCAGAAGATTTATTTTCAGAAACTGCTGAACCAATCCAATAAGGCATGTTCCAGAGTAGAAATGGAATATTCTTGAGTTCTCTGGAATGTTCTGTTCCCAAATCACTCCCTATGTAAGAAGCATGATATACACAAAATGTAAGTATATTATGAATGTAGTTTAATAATTTTGAGCTGTTTTTTTACTGAATGAAAAGTGGACTGGTAGGTGGGATGTATTTAAATTTAGAAGCTCATACCTTAGTTGTTGTATTGCTCTGTTTGGGTTTGAGCCCGTGCGATCCAATTTATTGATAAAGGTCAAGAACGGAACATTGTATCGCTTCATTTGTTTGTTCACTGTCATTGTCTGGCACTGAACCCCTCCAACAGCACACAAGACGAGAATGGCTCCATCGAGAACTCTCAGTGACCTTTCTACTTCTATTGTGAAATCAACGTGCCCTGAAAATGAAGTAATTGTATAAAAGTTTTAAACTAGCTTAAGATTCCCTGCTGTTACTGAATTTACACTACATTTCCCACTCTACATGGCTTTCAGAAATGGCAAGCAACAAATGTAGGCCAAAACCAACATTTAATTATGTCACTAATTAAGTCTCCGAATACTATACTAACAGCAGATTTAGTATACTAACCATACTATACTAACAGCAGATTTTAATTTACCAGATAATATACCTTTTTAGATCAAAATCATATTCTAGTAATGCACCAAACATGGGGGGGGGGGGAGAAATAAGAAATAAAAGCCCACTTCAAAGCAAATGTGATAGTAAAAACACAATCCTTATAATGTGAGAAGTAAAAACGTATAAAGTAAAACTTTAATTAGAAAATGTTAGGGATTTAATTAATTAAAGAACTTAAGTTGGCATACATGGCTCTTTCTACCCAATATATCTTCACAGCACCCCTTGGAGATAGGCTGAGAGACAGAAGCTGACTAGGACAGTTCTCCTAAGTGAGCCTCATAGCAGAGTGGAGATTTGAACATAACTTAAATCTAAATTCCCACTCATCTTTAACCTCAGAAGAGAGCCATCAGCAAATCTTCCCCTATAAGCATAACATATCTCAGGCTTTTAGGAGATAAAACAGCCACCGCCAGGCAAAATCACCACCCTCCTCCTCCTCCTCCTGCTGCTGCAAATAGAAGTAGAATGATTATGGCAAAAAAAAGCAAAGATAGTACCAATAGTTCTAGGTGCCTTGGGTGCAATCCCAAAACATCTGGAGCGCCACTTGAACACCATCAGCATTGACAAAAACCATCAGTCAATTGCAAAAGGCAGCTTTACTTGGAACAGCTTACATCCTGCGACAATACTTTCAACACCATCACACAACAACATCTGCCTATCCCAGGTCCTTGGGCAGGACTCGATAGGTGGACAAAAATGCCAAATCCAGTCTAAACATCTGGTTGACTGTGTAACCCACAACAGTAATAATAAATTTTTGTAGAAAGTATTGTGGACATGCTACCAATGATTTCTGAAATCTAATTTCCAAAGTAAAAGGTACATTAGTGCTGCTGGAAAAACGGAAGAGATACACTGAGTAAAACTGAGAAAGAACTAAATCTAAACTCACAGTTGCATGCCAATATATGCTCATTCATACTCATTAGAAGATAGTTAATAAGAATTTCAGTGGATATTGTCAAACTAATCCCTTTCAGAAATCTCTATGACGTAATTGCTCCAAACTGATATCTTTAAATATATGCATTTATTTATTAGACGTCTATTCCACCTTTCATTTGGGAGCTCAAGAAAACATATACAGCATTTCCTCTCCTATTTTTTCCCACAATAACTTTGTGAAGTAGGTTGGACTGAGTGCGTGAATGGCCCAAGGCCACCCAGTGAGCTTCTGCGTCTAAGAATGGACTAGAACCTGGGTCTCTCTGCTCCTAGGCAATATCTTAACCATTACGTCACACTGTCTAGACCACAACCCTTAAATTCTCAGTCTGGGTGAATCCAACATACTTGGAGGTCATCAGACTGGGAAAAGTCGCTGAATGACATGATGGCCATACAAGACTACCACAATCAGGCTTTCTGTGACTGGTGAGCTGAAATAATAGACGCTAAAATGAATAAGAACAAGAAGTTCAAGTTCCACTTTATATGTATATTTAGAAGAATTCTGGTTAACAACAGTCTACTGGGAAGCCTCATACTGCCAATCCTATTTGCTAAACAGTTAAAAAAAAAGATCACAAACCAGATTTGTAAGTATAAAACAGGTATCTTCTTTACAGTAGATGGAAATGATCCATGTGGAAAACCGAACATGGTATGCAAGGACCACGTTACCTGGGGTATCAATTATGTTAATATTTGTGCCTTTCCACAAGGTGTACGTTGCGGCAGACTGAATAGTGATCCCTCGCTGTCGTTCCAAGTCCATGGAGTCCATGACAGCCCCTACCCCATCTTTCCCTTTTACCTAACATGAAAGAAAGCATATCAATGTTTTTGTATATGCACTGATGTCATTTTATATAAAATAAAGAGCTACTGAAGGTCGCACAATTTAGTTCTACTCAGATTTTTCAGATCAAAATCTAATCCTAAACATCTTAAGAGAGAAAGAGAGAGAAGATAGATAATATTTAAAAAGTCACAAAAGGGCAATTGTTTTCAAGGACGATTTAAAATGTCACAAAGTAATGAAGAGTTCATGACTGGTTTTTATCTGACAAGGTACAATTATTATATCAGCTTTGATGTATTCTGAAATATTTTACATCTAACTGGGTAGTAAGCCAATTAAGCCTGAAACCTTCACACGTTTATTCATAATGGTCAGATGATTAATAGGGAACAGATGTTTCAAGGAGAAGCATAACACCGGCCACTTAAGATTTATACACTGAATTGGACTTGCAAGTAAACACGTCATCAGTGTTACTGTTTCAAGATAGACTGAATAGTCTAATCTGAAATTCAGGGGCCCTCAAAACATTTTTTTCTGCAAAGTCAATCTTTTCAGCTCATTCTTGAAGTTGGGTATAAACGTCAACTTTAAATGAAACAAGGATTCAAGACAATCAATGCACTGCATTCCCATATTTTCAGATAGTATCAAGCAACAATTTTTCTATAGTATTATAAAACATATTCACCCTCTCTTGGAATTTAAAAAAATTTGTCACTGAATTCAAAGCTTCATGTGTGAACAACAGGACCAAAGTTTGATGCTTGTTTCATTTATTTCATAAACAGTCATCCAAAACATGATCTGCCAATCACCCTTTTACATTCAACGAACAATCTCTCCCAATGTTGTATAGGAATGTTGTCTCGTTCCTCCATGGTGAACTGCTTCAATTCAGTAGCAACTGAAAATTTTCTAACATGAAGTGCTTGCTGAAGTCCTGCTACACTTCTATGAAATTTTGATCTGGGCCTTTAAAAAAAAACTGAATTTGTACTTTTTTCATCCATTTTCTTGTAAATGTATCTGTATGTTTGACACCCACCTACACTTCAGTTTTAGCTGATGGACAAATGGGCTGATAGTCTTCTACAAAATTATCTGGTTAAAAAGCTGAATTTGTGATTACTTCAACCATGGAAAATCACCCACTGAAGCAGCAGAGCATTCTAATATCATGTTACTACTGTCTCCATACTTGACAGTTGGTATGAGATTGTGAATGAATGTTTGGTTTCTGTCAGATATAACATTCAGGCAGCCCTCTCCCTCCCTCCAGAATCCCACTTTTGATTCATTTGTCCAAAGAAAAAATTCTCCAGAACTCTAGAAGGCCACACAGGTGCTTTCTGAAACAAGCATCAAATCAGCCTATTGTTTAGTGAAGTGCTCACACAAAGGCTCCTAGTTATCTCTGTAACTGAACTGATTAAATTAAGGGGGCAATTACTTTTTCACCTGGAACACTGCATATTGGATTACTCTGTTCATAAAAAAAACAAAGCAATGGTCTTACTTGTTCAATCATACTCTCTTTATATACCAGAAAGACATACATGAAACTCCAATCTTATCCAGCAGCAAAGATATGAAAAAATTCAGAATTTAAAAGAGGACAAATACAGGGGTCATCTCTTTCATTATATTTTTAATAACATGGAGTCAAATATTGCCTCTGACATTCCTGTATGTTCTGTTTATTTCATGGCCCCTGCATGCATGTAATCTTAAGTTTTCCTCTGTACTCTGGAAGATTCACCAATAAAACAGAAACAATGGGATTACATAATAATAAGTACCAATGTATTCATAAATACCTCATGCATTTCTGCTATCTTTCCTGTATAAAATAGTACACGTTCAGTTAATGTAGTCTTTCCTGAGTCAATGTGCGCAGAAATGCCTATGTTCCGGATCTTTTCATTGGGAAAAATTCCTGAAGAACACCATCTACAGCTATATAACATGAGCTGGAAAAAAAAAGCATAAGCTGTAACAATAATGTAATATATATATTAAATACAAAATATGATTAACATAAATGTTCAATGTAATAGCCTATTTGGTGGTTCTGGTATGACAGTCCCCTTCCCTACCATGCATAAACTAATGATTTCATTGGGGTTAGGGTTGGGCAAGAAATATGCTATTTTTAATAATTATAATTTAATCTATATCTCAAATAAAACAATGACAGGGCTTACTAATTTTATAAAATAAACATTTTATAAACATTTTATAAAATAATACCTTCCATTGAAAATGAAAAATAAAACAATCAAATTTAAAATTTACATTTTAGTGGGAAAGATGAGATAGATGAATTTCAGTTACTACTGAAATCTGTACTTTTAAAAACTGCTTCCATCATTTCCTCTTCCACTTTTCTTCTGGATCAACATATGCTCTTTGTAGCGACAATTGTGGAAAATCCTGACTTCACTGTTGGCTTTCCTTACAAACCAAATACTGTGTGTTGCAAGAACAGTATGTTGCAACAATGAACCAAAAAAGGACAAATGTTAGCAAATAATTATACATTGCTTTGGTTGCAAAGTAAATTGAAGATAAGTGAATATCATGGTTTAATATTTCAATTAAGATTGATTTTAGAAGGTCAGATGGAAATGTTTAAAAATATCCTATCAAAATAAGTTGCTAACTCGTTGGTTAGTTTGGAACAATTCTTCCTACAGAATTGGGGGGGGAAATCTCTTTTATATAGTTAGGCCTTCTAGTGTGATATTGTTCCATTCCTGTTTTTTGTTGTTTTAATCAGTAATTAAATCACTGCAATTGGGCGGTATGTAGATCTGCTAAATAAAAATAGTATTCCTGAAATATTTGAATACTTTTAAAGAATATATCAGCATATCCTTTATGATACTAAAATTTATTAATAATGACCAAATGTTGGCCACCTCCTCTGGAACAGCTTATCTCCTCAAAATTGCCTCTTCCTTAATTAGGCTTTAAAAGTACTGTTAAAACTTGGTTCTTCCAAAAGGCATTTAAGGACAAGATGGAAGGCTATGGACATTATGATTTATTTTTGTGTGGACAGAGGGACTCTATTATTTTTTTACTCTTCTGTGTATTATCTGTGTAAGCCAATGAGATACTCCTTGTTTGGAATGGCATATCAGCTGTAGTAAACAAATAATTTTGAATGACAGGCTGTAAGAAACAATCATGAACAGTAGCTGCAGTTCTGGCCTTCAGCAACAAATTATTTTCTATACTGTACTGTATTTAGACATGTAGGCATTAATCAACGGCATATTTCATAAATATTCTCTGATGCTACTTACACAGATAAATGCCATAACAAATGCCAGATAAATGACAAAATCAATAGAAATCTACCAGAGTATATATCTCAATATTTATACTTGTTCTTTGTGTGTATCCATTATAATTGAAACACGTTTTTCAATTATTGTTGTTGTTGTTGTTTAGTCGTTAAGTTGTGTCCGACTTTTCGTGACCCCATGAACCATATTGCGCCAGGCCTTCCTGTTCTTCACTGCCTCCCTGAGTT